TAATTTTCGACATTCAGAATATTTTAGACATCCTAAAGTATTTAAGACATCCTAAAATATTTTAGACATCCTAAAATATTTGAGAAGCCTAAAATAATTTTCGCAGCTTAAATTATTTACGATTTAGGCTGCCTAAAATAATTTAGCCATTTAAATTTACGACAAGAGTAAAATAATTTAGACACCCATGTATACCCCCAACCCTACTCTTAAGACTATAGACCATAACAAACCGGACCAAACCTGGATCAAAATAGACTAGACTAACATTCCCAGAATTTAACGCACATCCTTCTATAAAAAAAATAAAATAGATAAAAAAATAAAAAGTGCACCGAACTGGATTTGGTACTAAGCAAACTAGTTTTCGCGTTCTAACAAAAAAGCTGTTCATACTAAAACAATTATAACGGTGGTAAAAGCAGGTTTACTTAGTACAAAATCTAGTTCAGGTGTAATTTTTGTCGGGGATGATGCTGAAACAAGATGATAACGATAATGAAACATCAACTTTTTAATGTGAAATTTTAAAATTTTTAGGGTTATTTTTTTTAGCTTTTGTTTTGTAGTTAAGTTAGGGTTTAGGGCTAGTGTTTATAATAAAAAAGTATAATTAGATTTTATATAGTAGGGTTTATATTTCTAAATTGAGACCCCACGTCTTGTTCCGGCATCATCCCAAACAATTTTATGTTTATTTCGAAATAACGCACATGGGCGTACACGAAATAACGCGCAGGTGGGCGTTATTACGAGTTTATACGGTAATTAGTATCTCTAACCATTGTTTTATAGTCAATAGAAAATTTTCGATATTCTCAAACTTGATTGGCTGATTTTGGGGTCAAAACAAATCGATGCATATGCCCTAATTACCTAAATATAACGATAGATTCGAATCAAAAAAGGTAACCTAACAAACGCTTCTGTAAAATAACATTACCCAAGTAAATTATTATATATTTCGGGTAATAAATCTTACTTAGGTACTTATATACGATCTTTGTTATTCTCGATCACAAAAAAAAAATTATCCATTTTCTGTTTATAAACATTTTCTTCGGTTTCTTTAGTAATTATTAACTTAAAAGGAACATATTATCGAACGGTTAGGATGCAATGAAATCAAGTATCAGAGTAGTTGACCGAAGTATACAGTATAAATTTCGAGATAAGGTTTATGCTTTAGAAGCTATATTTCTTTTAGGACTTGGATCAGGATAAGCTTTTCTATTCGTCAATCAAAATTTATCTATTTATGAGAGATAACCGTAAAACGCAATGGAAAATATCCGGGTATTTTACACGTAAATAAACATTTGATTCATACCTCGGGTATATTGTATGGCAGGAGGTATATTGTTTGGGAGTATAATGTGAAGAGGATATGCTAACCCATTAGGAACAAAAATATACTACCGTATCTCATTAATCATGAGTGGTTCTTTTTAAAAATTAAAACTCTTCTATAAATGAAAGCGTTCCTCAGCTATATAATATACCTGGTTATTTCATAAATTTTCTGTTAAGTATTTTGTTTTAGATCCCGAACATTCTATTTTACGGTATTCGTTATCAGTTGATTTTCGAAAAAGCTTGTCCAGATCTGAGCACTAATGCTTCTCTGTCTCTATGTCTAAAACAAAAAAAAATTATCATTAAAGACACGGCAATTCGTAGATTATATGAATGTCTCAGTTAAGGGAGGCCATGGTGGTGATGGTTGTGTAGCATTTCTGCGTGAAAAATTTAAGTCACGAGGTCCACCTTCGGGTGGTAATGGAGGTAGAGGTGGTCACGTAATATTTGTCGCATCGGCAAATCATTCATCACTGCATTCAGTCAAAAGACAACTCATTGGAGGTAGGGGCGAAAATGGAAAAGGCCACATGAAAAATGGATCAGCTGGTAAAGATATAATAATCCCAATACCTTTGGGAACGGTTATTAAAGAAATCGATCCACCATCAAAGACATTGATTAATAAGAATGACATTAACGATATTAACGATGAAATTAATGAAGAGACATTGATAGAAAAACGGCGCAAAGCCGCATGGGTTCATTACCCAAAATACGATGAAAAAAATCCACAAAGTACTTTTTTTTTTGAAGCCGAGAGGATGATTAAAGAAGAAGACCGATTTCGTCAGTTACAAAAAAAAAAGGATGCAGAAAATAAACTCACATTAGATTTAACTGTGCCGAACGAACAATATATCGTTGCGCATGGAGGTTTAGGCGGAAAAGGAAATCCCTACTTCCAAACAAACGCAAATAGATCACCAAAATTTGCAACACGGGGTATCGAGGGACAACATAGATTTCTTGAACTTGAAATTAAAACAATAGCAGATGCGGGTCTTGTAGGTCTTCCAAATGCAGGAAAATCTACATTACTAACAGCCATTTCTAATGCACGTCCCAAAATTGCACCATATCCTTTTACAACACTTAATCCATTTATTGGTACGGTGGATTATGCGGATCGATATCAACTAAAGGTTGCAGACATACCTGGTATAATTCACGGAGCTCACAAAAACATTGGACTTGGACACTCATTTCTTCGACACATCGAAAGATCCAGAATTTTAGTATATGTTATTGATTTATCAGGAACAGCTCCGTGGGAAGATTGGAAAGTATTGCGAAATGAACTTGAATTATATCAAAAAAGATTAACAAAAAGGCCATCATTGGTGGTAGCTAATAAAGCTGACATTACCGAGAGTGCAGAGCGAAATTTAGCCATAATGTTAGGCAAAGCAAAGGAGTTTGAAATAGAAAACGAACAAGTTCTCGAAATTGTTCCGATATCGGCAAAGTATGGAAAGAATATTGTTAAGTTGACAAGTTTGTTAAGGCAAATGGTTGAAAAAATTAATGAAAAAGAAACAAGTAATACAGAATAAATAGTACAAAATCATAGATAATAAATTATAATTTGCACATTCTTTATTATTTAGTTCTATGTATTTTTCTATTACATACAACCAACCAATGTGCGCAGATAAAAAAAAAAAAAAAACACTATCTTAAAATTATTTTAAGCTAAAAAAAAAAAAAAAAACGAGTTTTTGATTTTAGTGATAACGGCACAAGAGCTTAAAAAAAAAAAAAAAAAAAAGGAAAAAAAGCTAATGCTAGTTATTCGTTAAATTCGTTAGATACTAAGAATAGAATCATGACCCCAACCCTCCATGAAAGTCCTCCGGGAAAATTTTTTATGCAAGATGGTTAATACAAACTTTAACATACGCAAACGTAAAAAAGGTCATCCCGGTGTACTTAATTCGATGAATAAAATGAATGGATTAGACGAATGGATTGTTCTTTTGATAATATACATGAGCAAACTTCATTTAGAGTGAAGAGAGTCACCAACTAAAACCAACATCGAAGAAAATTAATATATAAACTAGAAAAAAAATGAAAAGATCAATAATGCTAAATAAATACTCACTGTTTTTACCGCGTAGTTTGATGCCTAGCACCCGCTCCAGTTTTGAAAGAACTTGTTGGTTTGGGATAGTACGTCCCATTTCATAATCATTAATCTTTATCAACCGAGAAAAGAGAATTTAAGTTCTGTTAACAAAACTAAAAGAAAGCAAAGTGGAAATAACCTACAATATTTGCTTTTTCATTAATCTTCTGGCCTAGGTCCTTTTGAGTAAGACCTTTAGCTTGTCTAGCTTGTTGAATGGCTTTTCCAACCGACAAACTAATCTTTGGTGGTGGTGCAACCTCGTTCTCCCGATCAAGTTTGGCAATCTTTTGATGATCGGTGCCAGAATGACCTTTATTAGTTCCACCAGCAACTAAACAAAAGAATAGGACAATTGTTTAACACCAAGCTTTTAAAGGAATTGCTTTAGTTGCGGTTTTTACCTTTACGTTCTATCCCAACGACGGCACCCGCACGACGGGCTGCGTTAATCGCAGCATCACCTTTGGTGACTTTGGCATGCTCAGCACGTTTTCGAATTACAGTAACATTGTCCCAATCAGTTTCACTCATTTTTTTTAAAAAAACCAGGTTTACTGTTAGTTGTTATGCATATGACTAAGAAGCTTATTTTAACGTTAACACGGACTTCACGGTACAGCAGTATTACCAAAATACTCACGTGATATGTACGACTTTCTTCGACTTTCTTTGGGCGCAGAAAAATCTGTACACGTAACGTGTGGCAATTTTTTTGCCAATTGGACAACAGCAAATGGGCCATTAGCCATGGCCAAACAGCCAAGTGACAATACTGACTCATGTGCGTGCGTGCGTGCGTGCGTGCGTGCGTACAGTACAGTACGCATAACTAATGCTAAATCTACGTATAGTCAATCCTTGCATATAATGATACATCATAATAAAGATATATATTATATATAATGAATACGTAATAGTTCGATAAATAACGCTTAAGTAAGGGATTTCTTTGTCACCCAACAATTAATAATTAATAAGAATTAATTATGAATGAGAGAAAAAAAAATTCACAATTTTGTTATCACTATAACACCGAAATTGTAAATTTGTGATTATTTACGAATCATAAGATTACCTGCAGATGTCTGCATCTTTCTCTTGACAATTGCAATAAAAACTTGTAATCCTGATCATGAGTTCCTTTCTTGGGGGACGTCTAAAGCCGTGTCCAGTCACGTGGTTTTTGTTTTTAATTAAAGTTAGGGTAAGGGTTAGTTTGGGGTTAGGGTCAGGGTATGTTTTATAGTAAAATTGTCT